TTTCGAATACGCTAAATACCTTAAGCTAGTTACGAAAGGCTTTACAATAATAATAATTCGTTTTAACTTATATCGATTTATCGAAGCTTATTAAACTAACGCTTTTAACAACTTCATGCTTTACTCGAGCAACTAATCGATGTTCGCTATTAAGATTAAAAGCAGTATTCTAGCTAAAAGAATATCTAGCTTAAGCTTTTTTAAGTTTAAAGCTAAGCTGATATCCTTTAACAAGCTGAATTAAAGTATTAGCTTGATAAGCACCGCTTAAAAGAATAGCCTTTTTAACATTATAGATGCGAATAGCTATACGAAAGTTTAGCTTATGTTAAGAGCTTCTTTCTTAAACGATAAGCACGGCAACTAAACCTTTTTTATTATTATAAACAAAAAGATCTAAATGTATTTGCATCACTTTCGGACCAATGACTTAAGAAGAGCCCCGACTAGTATACTTTTTAATATAATGCACTCTTTGACTCAGCAAGTCCTTCGAAGCTATTATAAGCTATACTTTACCGTTTTGCTTAATCGCCGAGACGAGAACTACAAGCTTATCGCTTATCCGGAACCCTTTCAGCTTTTTAAATGTAATAATAATACTCGAGTAATTGCGATTAAGCACGACGCTGATATTAAACGACTCGTAAACCGTAATTCACGAATAAAAGACAAAGTTTTAGATTACTACTTGATGCTTTATAGCGTAAAAAGCTAGATCGGAAGCTTAGCTATTTAGCTTAAGAGCTACATTTACGACATAACCCTTAGAAAGACTATTAAATAAAAAGCTTTTAGACTTAAGTCGAAGACCTTAAATGCTTTTAAGAATATTGCGCTACGCTAACCGCTCGTTATAATTAGTGATCTCGTTATTTTTATGTCCGTTATTACGAAACAAAGTATTTTCTTAAATATAAACGCTTTTTAAAATTCTTTTTGCGAATAAGCGATTTTCTTTAACAATTACACCGCTTTACTAAATGATAGCACTTTAGAAAATAAAGTCAGCTTTATAAAACACGCTTATACGATCGTCTTAAGACGTATGCCGCTAACCTTTCGGTAAAGAGTTATTAATGAATTAAGCTAGCTTTTCGCCGTTATAATCTAGCTAGACTACGTTAGTTTCGTATTAAAAGCTCTAATCGAAAGAATAGATTAGAACGAACTTCGAATAATAAAAGAATTAACCGCTATCTTTATTATGTTTCGAACTTAATTTTAAGAACACTTTATCAAGCATAAGAAGAAGTTGTTTTCGGCATTTAAAAAAGGATTTATTATTATCTTAAATGCTAAAGCTAAAACTTATAAAGCTAAGTCCTTTTCTAAAAGCAAGAGCCGCCGAACTGACGACTTTATAAACGCCGATAAGTTAAAGGATTTTAAGAAGAGCTTGCGACCGATTAAGTTGTCTTTTAACGACTCCGACTTAAGTATAAAGATCACTTTAAAAAGTACGAAATCTACTCGTGAACTACGGTTTACGAGCTAAATCGACGATCTTAAAGCATCATCTTTTTAACCGGAATCTTTAAACCGCGTATTCGATAAAGCTATAAAAGCTTTGAATAACTTGCTCGAAAACGAAGACGACTTAACTAATAGCTCTAGACTTTATTCTAGCTTTATTAACTCTCCGTCGGCTAAGTTTATACTTATCAACGATGCTATTAATAAGCGCAAGAACGATATACGCTTTTTCACCCTTGAAAATGCTGCTGCTAATACGTTATCGTCTAATGCTAGCTTTACTAAAAGAAGAAGACTTTTTTAACTTGAAAAGAACGAAAGAGTTAAGAACGTAAGCACGGAAAGAGATTATAAAAAAGCTGTCGAAGCGTAGTTTAAATGATTAGATGTTTAGAGTTTAAAAATAAGATACCTTTCCTTTTTTTATACACTAGATTTTTCTTTCTTTTACACCTTTTTTTTTCTTCTTGCTTGATAGTAAGCGGAGGCGCTTACTTATTCTATAAGAAGACGGATGTAAACACTTTGCTTGATAAAGTACTTGCTATAGCTATTAAGGCCACATTAGACGGACCTATCTTTTATAAGAAGGCACACATCTTTTAGCTAAAACAATCAACGAGCTTTCCACCTACCTTTTCTAACACTTCTTTGTGAGACCATAAGGTCTAGCCTCAGTGTCAGGCTTCTATACGGCACATCTTTTTGGGTGCTTCTATATTAAGGCTCTGTGTTGGATTGCTTCCAAGCGATTGGGAATATATATTCGTAAAGTCGTAACGGTCGTCAAAGTACTTGCAATTGCAAAACACTCGGTTGATAAAGTATTTGAATTCTGTCTGCTCCTTAAGATTCAAGGGAGCTGATTCTTTTTATAAGATTAAAAGGAATCACGTGCACTAGCTAATTAATAGGCTTACTTGTTAAGTTAGGGGTCCTTTGATTGCTGACATGCTAAGCGAAGCATGCTAAGTGGCCCGTGAACCATGGTTCACGAGTGAGCTCCCTCAATTATTACTACTAGCTAGCTAAGGTCGATATAAAGATACCGACACCGGCAACTCTCTCTTTAGCAAGCAGTGCTTTGCCAACTACTATATCGACCGAAAAAGGAAGGAAGATAATCAAACAAAAGAAAAACAATTTCACCTTATTAAAACTCACTCTCTTTTCTCTTATAACGGCTTTTCTACTTATCCGTCTACTTGTACCTTTAAGGTATTGGTCAAGACTAGCTCTTGCAAAGAGGTATTAGCTTCGATTTTAATTATAGCGTTAGCAAGGTTGGATTTTCTTCCGATCTAGCGTACTTTAAAAAGCTCCCGCTTCTCGTATGACTCCCGAATAGCTATAATATCGATCATAAAGCGCTTTTCCTTAATAGTTCTTAGCTTTACTATGCACTCGTAGAGCGAGTACGAGTTAGTGCACACTACTACGAGGAAATTAAGGATTCTTAGCTAGGCCGTGATTTAAGCAAAAGTAGTCGACATCGCAATAGCTATATCGATATTTAAGGATATAGCGTATAGCTTAAAGGCTAATACTGCTTTTGTCACCCTTTTGCACTTCTGTAACACTTAATAAAAGATATTATTCGTTAGAGTAAACTCGTTTTCATTTACGTGAGCCTTATTGCTAAGGATATCTACGAAACCGATTTAAGAGTTAAAGTTAGCGTTATTAGCAAACGCTTTATCTACGAACATAAAAAGCTTCGCAGTCTTTAAGTCTAAAAGCACGTAATAGATCTTTCGTGTTAAGTGATCGATTAGCTATTAGATCACTTTATTAAAGGCTTTATAGTCTTCGTCCTTCGGTTCCTGATGCTAAGCAGCTATCGATAAAGCGCAAGATGCTTTTGAATAGCAAATAATAACTAAATACGCTTTTCGAGCACGTTGCTTTAAGTACTCTTTAACCCGTATAGCTGAATCGAGCTTGATTACGGCAAGCTTTTCACCTTGCTCTTTTTGCTCAACTAATAGTCCGAACCCGTCTTTATCTAAGAATAGCTTGCATCTATTGAAAATCATCGGTTCGGCGTATGTGAAAGTCTTTATTTTTTTGCTCTTTAGCTTGGATTTAACCAACTCTTTCTTTTCTTTTGCTCTTATAGCTCGATTAACAACCATAAGAACGTCGTCCGTTTATAAAGCAGCTATTCTTAACTGATCCTTATTAATTGATATAAAAAAGCAAGAGTTAAAGCTCGATTGCTTTATACCGAAGTTGTTTATAAAGTGCTTAGAAAAACGCTTATACTAATGCGTCTTTGCTTCGAAGATGCCGTATAAAAGGCCAGTTATAAAAAACAAAGTGCCGAAAGAGAATCGATAAATGATTTCTTTAAGTAATCGCACGACGATTATTCGTATAAGCTTCGTGCTTAATTAAGTATAAGCTTAAGTAATATCTTTGCTATAAACTTAACACTCGTAGTCTTTTATTAGAAAAAGAGCCAAAGCATAACAAAGTCTTTGGCCCGCTCGTTGTATCGTAAATAACTTAATAAGTACTTTCGTCTTGCTTTTATCTTGAAAAGCTTAAACTATTATACGAGACTTTTCGTATAGCGTAAGTATTCCTTTGCCTTTAATCTCGTTAATAAATCTAGATCCGAAGATCTTAGCGCTTTTAACTCGTAAGTCGGTGCTCGAGATCATTTAAAAGATGCTTTAAGCTATCAATCTAACTAATTCTTTTGCTTTAGACTTTTGAAATGATGCTCCGAAGCTCTTAATAATTCCCTCGGCTCGCAGCTTAGCTAAGAGCTTATAGTCTCGGCGTTCTTTATCGATAATTAACACTTCGGAGTCCTTAGTAAATAAAACGTAAGAATCGTCTTCCTTTTTATCGAGCACGGTCGAGATATTAAGATCGTACTTCTAATAAAGTATCTAGACTATTAGTATTATTGACTTTTAAAGATTAGCAAGTTAAGAGTTAAAAGGGCTATTTATTAGTCTTGGCGAGCTTTTTGGATTAAGCGACCTCGATGGATTAAGCGAATGTTAAGGTTTAAGCGATTTTCGTAGTTCTAGCTCTTTTTCGCCTTCGCTCTAATCTTCGCTTTCGCTTTAATCTTCTTCTACTTTTACCTTAGGTACTTGCAACTCCTTTAGCAGCTTTTCAACTTTAAAGTAGTAAGGTTTTATTAAGGTTGACCTGAATTCCGTAGGTCTCGGACATGCTACTATGCACGTGTGCCCCCGCTTGCTAAGCAGCTGAAAAGGGCCCTTCTACCCTTGATTCTCTCGCTATACGAGTACCCGTAAGCTAATAAAGAGGTCTAGGGTATGCTCCGTAATTAAGTTATTCTTCCTCTTAAGCGCGTCTTTAACTTGCTTCGTAGCGTAGCATTTTCGTATTTTTTTTATAGCTTTGTTAATAGCAGCAGCACGCTCTTGAGTAGACGCGGCAAATCGATTTTGTTCCGTCAGCTTTAATAAGGTCTTAAAAACGAAAAGTATAAAAACTAAGCTATTAAGTCTAGCTATGTCGTTAATAGCTTTTATAGCCATTTAAAGCCGGTCTTCCTTTAAGGCTTTTAGAAGCTCTTTTATGACGATCTCAAAAGCGCGTCGCATAAAGACGTAATAGCGTTCTATTAGCCCGACGCTATGATAAGCTTTTACAAGCATCTGCTTTAAAGTGCTGCTAATACTTTTAAGATTGTGACGAACTGATGAATTCTGACCTTAGAATACAAAGTGAGGAGAGGAAACAGGAAGCTCGGGGAGCTCAGGAAGGTCTATATACATGGCCATAAGCGCTAGGCCTGAATGGGTGATCAGCTGATGCAGGTAACGAAGCAGGCTGTCACACTACCCCTTTAGAGAGCGGTACCAGCTCTCTCAAAAAGTACCTGACAGAGGAAGGAAAAAAATTCAGTCGTGAACCATGGTTCACGGGTAGAATTGCTGAAAAAAAAAAAACCAAAAAAATACGCCGAAGCTACAGATCGCGGTAATCGTCAAGGTCAGCGTCGTAGCCTCCAGAAGCGTTCCAAATCCGCCAAAATATCCTCCTTTTCGTCTGAATCAAACCCTCTTAAACCCTTGTTCTCTCGAAAAGAACTCAAGGCTTAGCTAAAAGGAAGGAGCACTTAGCAATCCAAATTGATTGCACCACAACGGGTAGATTGATAAGCTTGCTAATCGAAGGAGCTGTGAGGAGCATGCTGGAGGGTGGGATTTCGATCTTTCAAAAAGCTGAGTCTTTGTTTGATTGTCGAGAGCGACGAGTTCTATTGCGCCGAAGGAACCGAAAGCGTATTGCAAGTATTCGAGATGCAAATGCTTAAGTATTGAGAGGTCGGTTAAATCGCCGAAAGAAAGGGAGGGCCCGTGGCCGTGCGAGGGCGGTTTTGAGGAACCGAAAGGGGCCGAAGGACGAAGAGAATCCGTAGGACGGACCGGAAGAACCGAAGAGCCGAAAAGCCGAAAAACCGAAGGCCGGAAGAAAGGAAAAAGGAACCCGTAAAAAACGAACCGAAAAGCTAGGAAGGCCGAGAGAGCCGGAAAAGCGTTCAGGTTGCTGAATGACGTGCGCGTACTCGGTATACGTTAAGGAGCGTCAATTTGGCTGTTTGAGCGAGTCCGTATAGTTGAATGAGGACCGAGAGCCGTATCGGAGTATCGTAAACGTAATTGAGTTGAGTAGTGGGTCCGCCAAGAGCTTTACCGCCGATAAGGAGCTGGGCCGTGAGAAGGGAGCCTAGCATCTTATCGCTGAACCGTATCGTAAGCGAAAGCTAGCTGGTCCGAGAATACCGATATTATAATTGAATTCCGAACTTCCGAAGTCTTGAGCTAAAGCGTTGAATAAGGACCGTATAATTGAACTTATCGGGATCCGAAAAGAGAACGCATTGCGCTGGCGAGGGGCCATTCGTAATTGCTTTACGAGGGACTCTAATTGAGCGATTCTCGTAAGGGGAAGGGCCGTCGTCTTCGTGGGAGGACATGGTGGTAGAATGAGGAAGGGGGGCGTTTGAGTGTCGGAAACGCCAGGAAAAAGAGTGGGGAAGAGAGTTCGTCTTGCAACCGAAGTGCAAAAATTGAGGAAGGGAGCTCTTTTAGGTCGGAAGAGCTAAGGAAGAAGTGAGGTCGTAAAAAAGACAATAATCTGTAAGCAATAAAAGAAGACCGTGGAGCACCCAACAAGTAACTCACTCCGTTCTTGACAATAATCAATAAGCTGTAATCTGTAACAATAATTAATAATCAATAAGCTGTAATACGACGACCTGATCGAAGGACTTTGTATAATGTGACGAACTGATGAATTCTGACCTTAGAATACAAAGTGAGGAAAGGAAACAGGAAGCTCGGGGAGCTCAGGAAGGTCTATATACATGGCCACAAGCGCTAGGCTTGAATGGGTGATCAGCTGATGCAGGTAACGAAGCAGGCTGTCACAAAGATAGCTTCGGAACGTTGCCGAATTAAAGTTAGTTCCGGAATCGTGCACGACGTTTGTAAAAGGTCCGACGTAAGTGTTAACTTAGCATCTATTAAATCCTTTAAGTAAATGTTATGCGGATATGCTTTTAAAAAAAGTAGCGGCTTGAAAATTAATAGAATCGCAAACGACGTGCAATACGTTTTTGCCGTTAAAGTGCATTACGTTTACGTATATCGTATTATTAAAGTTAGTATTATCTTTAAGTTTAATACTAAACCTTTTCGAAGAGCGTCCGAATACTTAGCAGTAGTAGCAAAACTTTTAAATGTTGTAAAGCAAATCTCGTTTGAATTCGTGCTCGGCCTTTTTAAGAACAGCAGCAAATCGATCTATTAAAAGGTGGCCAAAACGCTTATAAATGGTCTTTAATTGCTCTTCCGTAAAGTAGCAGTAAACGGTCTCGCTTTCGGTGTTATAATAAGTAGCAGCGTACTCTTTACTTAATAGCATCTATACGTGCTTAAACATCTTTACTATTAGTATTTCCTTCTTCTTTTAGACTAGCACGTTCCGTAAGTTATCTAAGATCACTTTGTGCTTATCTATATCAGCTAATAAGAATAAAAAGGGTACGTCGCTTTTTATAACGTAGAATTTTATTTAACTTAAAAGCGTTTCTAAAGTAATTGCTTTAATAAAAGTAGCAGAGCCAATCTTATACTTGACGGACTTTTCTTTTATTCGAGATGTATCTAATTAGACTTTGGAGTACTTCTTTTAAAGTGCTCGTAATTAAAGCAAGCTAGCGATAAAGAAATTAGCTGCTCCGTTATTAATTATAAAGCTTATAAACACGTTTTTAGAATACTTAAAAGCTATATAAGTCTTTGCTTTGCTCGTAAGCACGTTTTAAGTCTCGATTTGACTAGTAAAAGCGTAGAATGCCGTTTGAATCTCTAATTGCTTATATACCTCGTTAACGTTAAAAGTGCCGTAAGTAATTACAAAACCTTTTGATATGTTAGCGTAGCTGCTCGATTCGAGCGGCTCGTCTAATAAGTTTGCGATAAACTAATCGAATTCTTTCGTAGATATAAATAGCAAACTTTCGATCGACGTTACGTATTAAGAGAATTTGCTTTTTGTTACTTTTTTTGCGTCTTTAAAGCTTTAGAACTTAGCGACGGAAGCCTTGCGCTCGTCGAAGGTATAGTTGGTGCTCCAGCAACCTAGCTTTTTATAAACAAAACACCTTTTCTTATCTTTAATAGCCTTGGCAACTTTCTTACTTCCGAAGTATTGGCGGTCTTAAATAAAGCATTCGTATTCCTCGTCCAAATCGAAGTCAGCTTTTAAAGCGTGCTAAGAGCAAGTGTGATCGTATGGCTCGCTAAAGCTCGCGTAAGCTTTACTCGCTTTAGCGGGAGGTCGAGAGGTCTCAGTTGCAAATGCAATTGCTCGGCGGATATCGGCAATTGCGGCGGTAAAAGTAAACGCAAGGTTTATTCGTGCAATCGTAGTCTTTAATACGTTTTTACAAGCTGAATACAGCTTATTAATAAAACTCCGATCATCTTTTAAACTTAGTCGTAAAGAGCTTTAAATGCTCTTGAGCTTTTTAACGAGCTTTTCAAAGCACTCGTTAAGCGAGGTCCTTAGATTCTCTTTTTTAACTAAATCTAGCGAAATTTCTTTTTAACGGTCGTATTTTACTTGCCGCCGGTAGTCGGTTTCGAAGTGGTCTTTTACAGCAATAGCGTTTGCTTTAAACGTCGGAAGCTTAGCTTTAATAACGTAATTATAATAAAATGTAATAGCTTCTTTCGTAAGCATAATAAAGAACGCCGCTAAGTAATCGTCAGAAGTCAAACCGTATCGACTTGCTTGGTTAATAAAAATCTTTAATTAAGTTTTAAAGTCATCGTCGGGTTTTAAATACTTTAGCTCTTTAAAAAAGCTTTTTGCAAACAAAGCTAACTCTTTCGCTCTTAAGTAAAAGTCTGCTGCTTTTAGCTTAAGAAAGTCATCGCTATCGTCGTTAAAAGCGCTTAAAGTGCCGTACGCAAGCGTGCTATGCTTAGCTAATAGTCTGATCGGTAAAAGATTATCGATATAGTTGCCGGTGGTCCGTCTTTTTCTAAGGTCTTTAAAAGGCTCATTTCCGAATCCGAGGTCTTTTAAAGGTCCGTTTTCGAATCCCTTTAATAGTCTAAAAGGCTTATTTCTACCTTTTTCGTACCCGTAGCTTCGATCTCTTTATTAATCTTTCCCGTTTCCTTTTCGTCGGTCATCGCTAAGATCGCTAAGATTATTTAGGTTATTAGCTAAGGCTCTAGCTTGGTGATATTCGTACCTTTAAGCGCGTTCTTAACGATTCTTATACCTTTGATATCCTTTTTGTCGATACGTAACTTATTAAGGGATCTAAAGAGCTTGTCGGTACGTCCGAAGGTGCTAGATCCTTTTTTCGGGTTGCTGAATTCTTTTCTCGGGTTGCTGAAGTTAGGCACGGAAATCTGCACGCTGTCTTTGGTAAGAGCTGATTTTGTCCGGAATGCTTTCAGGTTTTAGCGGGTCCTCTTTTAGCGTATAGCTCCCGTGGCCTCGAGTATTGTCTGGTCCGCTAATGATCTTAAGACCTTTGTTATTGTTGCTATTAAGCCTAGGTTTTTCAGAAAACTAGGTGTAGCTCTTGAGAAAAAGGTTTAAGAAGCGCTAAAGCGATTTTGGCTCTTGTTGTATGATTAGCGTATTGCGTAGCGACTATTGAATTAAAGATAAGTACGCTGAAGTGCTTCGTCGTAGCTTTTCGTTAGATTGTATAACGTAAGTCCGTAATTCCGCCATTTGCCTCGCTATTACCTTTATATTTTGCTTTATATTCTTCTTCTCTTTCGCAAACTCTTCGCGTAACCTCCGAATCTCCTCCTTTTCTTCTTTTTTGCCTGAGGTCTCCTTTTCCTTCCTTTTTGGACTTCGTAAAAGTGCTGGAAGTAGTTGAGGCGTATTATCTTCGTCGTCCGTAAGGTTTTCGGCGGTCCACTTCGAATCGAGACTTAAAAGTGTTGCTTATTGCTTCTTTATCTCTTTAAGGGTCCACTAGTGCTGCTAGTCGTCGTTCAAGAGCTTAACTATCTTATTAGCGTAACCCTTTTGCTTTAAAGAGCACTACACGCTTTTAAATAGCAAATGTTTTTTAAAATTAATAAAAGTAGCATACTTAAGGCTTCGTCTCGTATTGTTTTCCGTTATCGTAAAACTAGTCTAATCTTAGCGTAAGAAAGCGTGCCGGAATAAGCTTTATAAGTCGTAATCCTTTAGTCTTTTACACTTTGCGTTTAAGAAGTCCTTTACTATTGCTCGAGCCGTAATCTTACTATCGAGCTTTGCGTATAATAGCTTATTTAAGTCAAATGAGATGCTCGATATCTCGTCATCTAGTCCTTCCGAAAGGCTTAAGAGTCTTAAATATAATATTTCTTTTAATTGAATAGCTAAGAGTTCCGTAAGTAGTGATAAGATTCGAAGGGTATAATACTTTATTGCTTTTTGTCGGCTAGACTCCTTACCTAGAGGTCCAGTTGCTCGATCGGCCATAGTTGTTATCTGTTTGTGTGTAAGTCGATTTAAATTGGTTGGGTTGCTATATGTAGCAAGCGCGGCTCTTATAGCGTTGAAGTTATTGTTTTGAAAGTAACTTGGTTCGGAATCACTCTTCCGTAAGAATAAAGAAAATCGGTAATATAGAAAGCGACTTGGTACGGAATCGCTCTTCCGTTGTAAAAAGAGAGAGGTATCGAAATGAAAGGTATCCTCGCTATAAAGTATTCTTAGCTTCTTTGTGATTGATCACTTAATAGTAAATCAACTACTGATCAGTGTTGGATTGCTTTTAAGCGATTAAGAATATATATTCGTAAAGTCGTAACGGTCGT